ATCACATCCAGTAACAGAACTAAATCCAGTCCTGTGTCAAGATAATGTCAGGGGATCGCAGATGCCAAGTACAGGTAAGAAAGGACTCTGCATTACCACTGCTTTCTTCTCTCTGCTTTATTTCACACTCCTGTTTGTGAGAATTCTCCACTGCATTCTCCAAAGTCAGTGGGATTCCCAACAAGTTTTCAGCAAGAATGGGAATAACAATGACTGCAGGCACTTTAATGCACTTTCACTTTGGCAAGGACGCATGAGTATTTTCCCACCATTCTTCTCCCCATTTGCAGCAACAGCTCTTTTTTTTAACCTTTTTTTTTTGGTCCCCAGCTCATTTTGCTTCAACACTTCTGAAGGGTTATACTGAAGTCACTCTTCAGTGAGTAACCAAAATAATCAGGTATTAATTACAGCTAAAGAACAAGGTCCAAAGTGTGACTCATTATAATTCTTCAGTTCATCTAGAGTAAATAGGACCTTATCTGTGGGGCTGCCTAGGTTTTTTACCTCAGTGATATGTGGAAACTATAGCTCAGGATCTTGGAGGAAACTTTGAACCCACTACACCAGTTTGAACAGGTCTGCGGCCTTTGGCTTTTTAATCTTTGCCTTTGTTCACTGTTAGATTTGAATGATTGCCAAGTCCTGTAAAAGCCTGGAAATCGGATATTAATCTTGAAACTCTTATTTAGATTCTTTTCCCAAGGAAGATGTTGCACAATAAACATTGCCTATCCATTTGGCCATGGGAGAGTGTTTTCTACTTTTGGTCCAACTCTTATTCTCATTGATAATGGAAGAAACTCAGCACTTTGCTACACAGTAACATGAAGATGTCATTATTTAAATGACTGTATGGATATTTTCATTGATAATATCGCTTTGCAATCATGTTAAACCTTTTCAGTAAAAGGTTTTGCAAATGATAATTCACAAAGCAAATACTTTTATTTTTGCGTCTTCACAGAATAATTTGCACTTGAGATTGTAATATTTAAGTGCCCCTACTGGTCTAACAGAAAAAAATTAACCATTTGTACATTATTTTAGTCACTATTACATTTCTATAATTCTCTTGAGAAAGTAGGGATTTGAATAATGGTTTCATTTTAGTTCTGAATAGACATATATTAGTACTTCTATATTTTCTATGGAAGTACATTGGAATTAGGAGTACTTAATAAAAAATACCTTTTCATGTTGGAAGTTCAGCTTATAATTCACATAATGGTTTTGAAAACTCTACCTTGCATGGCAACTTTTCAGTCTTTTGCCCACATAATTCCTGTTGGTTTAGGAACTCCAGTCAGTGCTCAGTATATATGAAACCTAGACAAATAGACCAAATTAGTAATACATGTGGTTATTCCCATGTATGTATGCAAATATAAATAATACTTAGTATTCATGCCTGGTAGTGTTTTCTAGCTTCAGCTGTAGTATGTGAAGAAAGTGGGTAGAAAAACCATACCTTGGTTATTTCACTAAATTTCCTTTTTGTGCGTTTATTTGATAAAAAAGTGGTGCAGTATCCAGGGCTTCTCAAGGACTTCATAAGGCCTTGAACTTTCTCCTACTCTAAGGACAATAACATAAATTTTTCTTTCTGGGAGGTTTTAAGATCTGAAGTGAGCTGTTGCTGATTCCAGTACATTGAGATTGGGACCAAGGCAGACCCTCATCATCTCTATGCGGAGGTCATGAAGAAAACCCAAGGTAACTCATAACTTGGGTGAGGAGAGCAAAAGGAAAGAGTTCAGCAAGGAAGCCTATATATTTCTTAAAGGTGGCGTCTCCATGAAATGCTGGTCAGGTAAGTCCAGTACAGTTAGGATTTGTCACTTGATTTCTTGGACCTGTGCTGATTCACCCCGATTTTGGTTTGACCCTCTGCTCCTGACATGCTTACAAAGAACAAACTCTTTCTGCAAGTCTAATAATGTGGCTGAAACTGGTAATTACTATACATACTTCTAGAAGATCTATAATATAATTAGCAGCTGCTTTGAGTTGCAAAATTACAGTAAGAGAAGATTTATGTTCTTCCCCTTAACTGAAGCATGGTTTACTTCGATAAATACAATTCTGAGATAAGAATAAATGCATATTGCATTGGGCAATCTTCCCTGTGACACTGAGATATGTATTACCTCTTTGCTCCAATTATCCAAAATGATGTTGCTTTCCCTTTTTCCCTGCTTTGATTACCTTTTCAAGTGTTCTGTACCACCCTTGCCAAAGGGGTGCAATTATCCCTACAGGTTAAACCTCTCGACTTGGGTGGAGAGGTTGTGCAAACGTGTTGCCAGTGTGGCGGCTCAGTGTATCAAACTTTCTGCCCTTTCATAACTTGTTTCATTAGTCCCACCTAAGAGTTTGAAGAAGCCTTGGTGGTTTGGGTAGGAAAATGACTGAAGCCAGGGAGCAAGAAAGCTGTGCCTGCCCTGGTCTGCCTGGTCTCTCCCCACTGCTGTGCTGCCGAGGATTTCTGATTTGCCTCCTTCGATCCTGGATGTTCCAGTGCACAAACAGTGTCCCCCAGATGTAATTGGCAGCCTTTAGATGATCATTTACCTCTTCTCTAGAACTTCACTAAGCAGAAGCTGACCTGAAGTAGTGAATGAACTGTGGACAGGGCCTTTTAGGCTTTTAAACTGGAGGCAGGAGTCTTGCTGGCAATAGGTCCAGCTGTTTATATCTCAGAAGCTCAGAGGATTCTCAGTTCTTAAAGGCCAGCTCCACCACTAGGAGTCTTTCCTGACACAACCCTAACAAAAAGATGTGTGAGAATGACTTCACCAGAATTTCATCCCTTTCAGGCATTGCTTCTCCAGTGGGACCAGTGACTTAAGTCCTTCTGCTTAGGGTTATAATTGCAGAGCTCATTACAAGGGTCTAAACTCTACTGAGGGTCTTTCTTGCTTTTCACTCTTGTGTAATATGATGAAGATAAATTTATTCCACTGCCTTTCAAGTCCTCTGTGCTCAGAAGGGATTAAGATTTAAACCTTCTACTGTCCCCTCAAAGAAGGTGAACATCAAACCAGCCTTGTGACTGAAAGTCTGACTGATGCTAATAAGAACCTGTTCTCTTGAAACATCCTTGTTACTGCATGAGGAGCACTTCTGTAACCTGCCAGCCTCCAGTTCCCTTTCGCTGCTGTGGTGCAGTTCACTGATTAGAAACAATACTAGATGCACTTGTGATAAACTCTTTGTTGGGCCTCTGATCTGTGCATGGCTGTGCTCTCCTGAAATGGGGAAGCACAGGCTACGTGCTGTGCAGCACTGCTCACCACACTGAGGCAACAGCCAAAACACCAAAGAAAAGATCAGGACAATAATAATAATAATAATGATAATGATGATAATGATAAAAATAAAATGACGTACTTTGAAAATCTCTTGGTTACCTTCGCTTAGCCTGAGCAATTTATAGAAAAATTCCCGGTTCGCAAATCTTGAATTGGGAAAGAAACTCCCAGATGGCAAAATTAGAGGCGTAGTTATAATTTATTTAACAGTGGAGTGGCATTTTGGGGGTAAAAGAGGAAATGCTTCAGATTTAAAATATTAAAGTTGCCTGAAGCACAGAGGGAATGAATTTATGATAATGTGGGACTCTGGGTTTGACTCGTCATGAATCTGTCCCTGCTGCCAGAATTTTAGTCCCAATTCAGAAAAATTTTAACTATTTTTCAGAAAGGGATTAGATATAATGAAAGCTTTTCTGCTGATTTTTAAATGATTTTGAAAAAACCTGAATGATAATAAGATGTAACCAGTGTATTTTCTAGTTGACTCTTGTACACTGCTCTCCTTAAAAACTGCAGGATGATCTGGGACTTCATCCAACTCATGCTGAAGTCTTTCCACTCAAATAGAATACTTGGTGAAAAAATTAGAGGTGATTCCTCAGTAAATACAATGCATTGTCTGTGATGGGCCTTGCAGTTACTCTTGCATTTATTCCAAAGCCTGCTACAGGATGCTTAGGAGAACAGCACAGTATTACAGGCCTTTGTTTGAATTCTATCCTTTTTATTTTGCAGATTTTTTTTTTAACATAAAAGAAGGAGGAGGAAATTTATGAAAATGCAGACCTTGTCAACATAGTTCAATTTCTTAACTTGTCATCTTGTCTCAGTTCTGACTGGAAGAGCCCGAAGAAGGCCCTATGGCCAACTTGTCAGCTCTAATCTCCCCTTCTACTCCTAGCGGATATTTTATTAACACTTTTTAAGACTGTTTTTTATTTGTTTTGCAGTCTACATGCTGAGGCAGCAGCCAGTTTGGTTTTCTTCATCTTTCTCTCTTCATGCTCTCTGCTGCCTGAGAGAGAGGTTGGCTCTTCTGCCATCAGAGTCCACAAATCACAGCAAAAGGGATTGTTGCAGTTTTCATAAATGCGGTGTTACTTGAAAATTATAGACTGCAACTGCTTATTGCAGTTCTGTGCAATGGCTGTAAATTGGGCCCTGTATCTTTCTGGTGACAGTCATTCCCGCAACAGGCCTTTTAGGAAATTGGAAGGGAAATTAAACAAGAGCAAGGGGTAGCCTTCCTTTTATCTTTGACATGCCTTCCTGAAATCCTTATCTATCATATTCAGGCAGAGATGCTGCTGAAATGGTGGTGGATTTAGATGTTGTCCGTCTCTGAAGGTACAGACTGCTGATCCTGCATGCTCTTTGAAGCACGTCTGTTGACGGGGTCTAGATACACATAAAATATTATGAATGATGGACCATGATGACATGGCACCAATGGAATATATTATTTCTCCATTTTCACTGTCCATTCATGTAAAAATCAGCTTTCTCAAAGCCATTTAAAAGGGTTAAGCTGAACACAGTGGCCATAGGTAGGGAACTGTTTGCAGAGAAGATTGAGTGGTCAGTAAACAAAGGCTGCATAGTGACTTTATTTCTTTCTCAGGAGATAAAGATGAGTGCAGTGAGTGTTCTGTTGTCCTCTTTTTTTTTTTTTTTTTTTTTTTTTTCTTTTTTTTTTTTTGGCTATCTGGACTGTGAATTGAGGCATGCAGGAGTAAACAAGCTTACCTGTTTGGTTGCTCATTCCTTGCAGGATGTGTGTGGAGGTGTGGACAGCTCATCCACTGGCCTAACTGCCTGAGCCAGCAGAAAGGATGGTAGGTAGTACATAGAAAATGAATATAATCCACTATTACATATTAATATATGTTATATATAATATATAATTTAATAACTATATAATACCATACAAGGAAAGAAACTGTAAATGCAAGGTGGTTTCTGAGACTCAAAGCCTTCTTGAGGTGATGCACATTACTCACTGCCCTGTGTGCTGGATGTGCCTGGTCCTAATCCAGCCCCAAATCCTGGCCTTCCTTCAGGTTTGGTTTGATGGGAAGGGCTCCTCACCTAACCTTACCTTTCTCTTCACCACTGAGCTTGCCTGAAATGAACTCTGTGTTGACACTTGTGCAGGCAAAAAGTCTATGTCTGGAAAGAAAAGACCTTTTTATATCTGTTCTGCAGTAGAAGAGCACACGTTAATTCTGGCTATGGCAGATCCTCTAGGCCCACACCTCTGACACACCCAATATAAAGAGAGTTTAAACAAGCACTTACCCTTAAGGGCGGGAGGGATGCTCGGTTTTATCACCTCACCACACCCCAGTCCTGGTTCCTGCAGGCTCTGTTAGAACAGCCAGCTTGGTTCCCTGTGTGTAGGATGTGCTGAGGTTTGTGTCCCTCAGCAGTCACCTGCTCCAGGGCACTCTGTGCTTCAACAAAAGGGTCGGGTACAAAACCACCTTTTTGCACGGGTTGGGGGGAATCACTCAGTGCTATGAAATTATGGATTTAACAGCCTCACACATCTCAAACCAAACCAGAAACCCGACCTGAAGACACCTGTGCCTCTGCAGGGTTGCTGGTGCCAGTGCAGCAGTGAACCTGAACCCAGCAGGACAAACCCCAGACACGCCCGGTGGGAGCTGGCGCCAGTCCGCGGCTCTTCCCACCCCTCTGCCAGGGCAAAGCCTGGATTGCTCCCTGTGCCATGTGTAAAGGAGCATGGGCAAATTACCAGGCAGTTAAACCCAGTGATCTCCTTATCTTTGCTGTTAGTATTGCTTTCGATTATTCTGAAGGATAGATGGCAAGAAACCAGATTTGCTTCTGATGTGTAATACCACGTGTTTGCTTTTCACTAAGCCCAAACAAGGAAAACCTACAACTCTCTTTCACTTTTGTCCCCTATTTGTTTTCATGTGCAAGCACAGTGCTTCAATGTTCAGGCTGTAGATGATGCCAAGGAAAATTGAAGTCCAAACCAAGAAGCTGCTTTCACTGGAATTTAGAAAAACAAATACAGAGAGCTTTCTGTTGCTCATTTTATTTCATTTTCAATAAATCTAAATTTTGGGTCAACTCAACCTGGCAGTGTTTATCTAAATAAAAATGCAATGGCTATGGGAATGCGAGCCGGTCCTTAAAATCAGAGGAGAAGGAGACTTGGATTATTGTTTGGCTAGGATGAAGGCAAGCATCTAAAGCAAGAAGATTTGAAGACCTTGCCATGTTCCACTGGAGTGGGTATAAATTTTATGAATACCATTGAAGTAAGTAGAATCAGACTCTAAATTAGTGATTCTGCATTACTTAATAACTCTTACTGAAATATAGTGCTTCTGGCTAACTTCAGATTTTAGCTGGAGAGCTAACTGGAGGGGTTATTTGGAGTTGCCTTAAACCTATAGGCTACTAAATGATTTACTGGATATTTAGATACCTATAATCCTGGAATTAGACCTACTGGGATATAAATCCCTGAAGCTCACAAGCAGTTAAATAATGACTAAACGGAAAAAGAAAAACCCATCTAATCCTTTCCATGCTAAGGTATATATTAGCACAAAATTTGCAAAAATCCATCTTCCACACCAAATAGAGTGATTACAAATGAAGGCAAGAACATTATCCAAAAATACTGGAAGCTGGAGAAGCACTGTGATCAAATAGGACAACAAACAATTCCTGAAAGGAAGGGAAACGACACAGATATTTATGTATGTGTTTTACAGGGTCTGCACTGACACCGAGTTCCTTCTGTACATGCTTTTATCAAAATTCTCAGCCAACTGAATCCCATACATTTATTGCAATTTTCCTTTTTCTTTGCCAGGAGGGCATATCCAAAGCTCTCATAAGGAGACTGAAACCATGGGCTGGATTTGCTCAGATCTCTGAAACATTTTCTGCAATATTGAGAGCAAATATGGATTGCCAAGATGGAGTTTTACCAGCCTGCCTTCAAAGCCTACTGTAGAAAGGAGAAAATTGCCTTAGGAGAACCAGGCCCTGTGAGCATCCTTGCTCTGTGTTTTCCATTCCCTATGGATTGGTAATACAGTTCTCATTACAGACAGCCAAACTCAAGAGCAACATCCACAGCTCTGGTTGCATTGTGCCAGAAAAAAATGGTTTTCAAGGACCTCAGCTTGATTCAGTGCTAATCCAAAATACTGTACAATGCTGAAGAAATGAGGAAAGTAAGTTTGAGGTTATAGAATGGTGCTTTGCACAGCTATTGATGGAAGGGGCCAGGGGTGTTCATTTGATGGGGTTGTGAGGCTGCAAACACGGCAGCGTCTCCTGAATCAAGGGTTGCTGAATGCACTGCAGGGGTCCTGTGGGAAAGGGAGTTTCACTCTTCCATCCCCATTCCCAAAGTGTTCCTGGAAGAGCCAGCTGCTGAACTGACTGTGGTGCTTCCAGCACCTTGTCTGGTCATTCTGAAATTGATTTTGTAAATATTTCATGTGTGCCAGGTGGGCTGATGAGGGCAAGGTGAACTCTGAGAAGAATTGATTCTAACCTTGCTCTGCTACAGAACCTCAACACCTTAATATTGCAGAAGTTCATCTGTGTCCTGCAGTGCTGGTGCTAAGAAATGAGGAGCAGTTCCCTCAGGTGTCTTGCATGTGACTAATGACAAATACAGAGGGTCTGGCCCTGCACCTCTTCAGTATAAATAAATGTAATTTTGTTCAAATAGTCACATTCCTGAGCAACCACTGAATGTATTACTTTGATCATTTGACAAAACGAACAGAGGCAGGTAATTAATTTTGGTTATTAGGTGTTTGCCCAGTATTCACAAGTAGGTGTGGATCATGGTTACTCTGCCTCTGGGGCTATTTATTTGCATAATTTCCTTTGTTTGGTAACAATGTGTGATCCAGACAGAGTCATATAATCCCTTTATGGTGGAATTTGTGTGTTTACTAATACCCATATACAGTTTGTGTGAATGTATTTGTGGCCAGTCTCTGCCCCCTGGCCCAGGTTGTGTTCCCATGCAGGAGGACCAGTGGGCGCCTGCCCATTTCAGGAGGAGGCCTTGGCCAAATGCGGTGTGCTGGAGTCATGTGTTTCCCACACTGCTCCAAATCTCAGGGCAATTTTCTTTGCTTTGCCCTTCAACATATGATTTATGTTAGTGAGTTATGGAGTCAGTGCTTCCCTTGGTGAATTTTATTCTACAATGGGAGTTATTGAAATGGAGAAGTGACAGAGGTCACAGACCAGAGTTTCTCATGTGCAGTACTGCCAGTCCTCCTCCCCTGGCTCCTCAGCATCGGGCATTAGGGACTGGCTGTTCTGTGAGCCTCAGGATACACAGCAAAGCCACCAGCTCTTCTGAAACTTGCTACTAGGTCAAAACAGCTTCCTTAGAGGTTTATTTTTTCTTGGAGATGTACACATTAAGAGCTCCTCCAACAATTCCAGTGAGAGCAGAAACAGATAAATGTTAAGCTTCCTTTGCATTCCACAAGAGGTCCCAGCTGGTCTTTCTCTTCCAGCAGTAACCCTGGGGCAGAAAGCAATGCTTTTTATTTCCTCTCACACTCCGCAAAGCAAAACCTTAATAAGGCTTGACACAGTTGTTCTTCTCCATGTGTAGTTTGGGGGGTGTTCCCTAAAAATCTCTCTGGATGCAAGGTTGCCTGAGACATTCCAAACACTTCAGCTGAAATTCTATTCAAAGTTTTATCACAGGGCTTTGCATGTGGATGAATTTCAACCATAGTTTCTATTTCACCTGATTTTTAAGGCCAGAAGGAACCATTATAATCATCCTGGCTGAGTCTCATAAGCCAGAGGGTTTTGCTTAGTGATTGCTGCATGGATCTTGTGGTAGAGCTTGAACACATAGTTTAGAAAGGCATTCAATCTTGATTTAAAAACTTAAGTGAAAGGGAGTTTGTCCTGGATGGTTTTCTTCCTACCCTGGCTTGTTCTTGTGGATCAATTGTCTGAGTCACAGAATTTAGGCTGTACAAGAAAAGGAAGCAAAATATAGTTGTGTCTCTCTTCACAACCTAAGCCTCACATGACACTAAAAATTGAGTTTGTTGAGATTTACTTTTTGCAAATCCATACACAAGTAGTTTCAGAATTTCACAGAAATACACATTAAAAAGAGACTCCCAGAGAGCTGAAGCTTTTTCTTTAAAATATTTGTAGTGAGCTTCCCTTTATGTTTTAATCATCATTTTTATGGCTGTTGAAGTGTTTATTTATGTACTTGGAGGCTTGATTCTGGGAGATAGAGAGGTTGGGAAAAGAAAAAAGATGCTGGTCAGCAAGCCAACAGAGAACTAAGAGTTGACAATTTACTTTCAAAGAAAAAATGAGAGTTGCATGTGCTGGAAAAGTGTCTGGGTCAATGTTGGTTGTGCGGCAGTCAAACTCTGCCTGATTGGACCTGTAGCCTTGTGTTCCTGTCCAGTCCCTGTGAGCTTGTCCTGGAAGTTTGCTGAATTCACTGCATTCACTTCTATGTTGGTAAATGGGGTCCCAATATTCAGATTTCATGCCTCAGCCTGAGCTTGTTTGCTCAGTATAGAAGCACGTGGCACGAGCTGCACGGAGGTGACCTCAATCTTTGCTGTCCCCTTGGCAAGTGTTTTGGCAAGGAGCAGCTGCAGGCAACACCACCTTTTGCCTTCCTTGTTAAGTTGGACCATTGCAGGAGCATTTCCTTTGGCATCAGGGAGTGCTGAAGGTTCCTTGAGAAACGTTCTGGCTCTGAGCCATGAGAACTCTACTGTGAGAGACAAGGACAAACAGAAGGCAGGGTACCAAAAAGTTATGTAAC